GCGTTCTTGTGCTCATGAAGTCAGCTAAACGTTAATCGACGTCTTAGTTTCGAGAATGTGCCGTGAGTTTAATCGAGAACCGAACCACTGATTTTACCTTCGAAGGCAGAGGACACGTTTAGGCCTAAAAGCTTCTCCTTTTTGTCACTCATTCCCTACAAACATCAAAACTTTAATCCGAAACGTAATTTTGCCCAGTTCGTCGGATTTTTAAGTCTGAACGTCACGTCCTTATCTTTTCTTTCATCCTTAGTAAGAGGTCCTTCGCGCAGGTAAGGAACGACCTGCGGTGTTGAGTTAAACAGAAGCTTAGACACCTCCGAGCCCACAAACACAAACACAAACAAACAAGGAAACTAACTAACAAATCTTGTTGAAGTAAAATCCAATCAGAGCAAATTGTATTAGTCGTGGCCGGCGCTAATCGAGGGCACGCGGTTTAAATTCATCGACGCTCACGAACAACCGGCGCCTGTCGGACGACCGACGCCTAACAGATTCGGCGTAAACGATTATTACAACGAACGCGCAACGCACGAACGAACAGTTGAGCCGAATTGAAATGTAATTTTAGTAAAACGGGCACTGCCGTCTTCATTTCAACTTCAGGATGTCTTTCATTTTAATATTATACCTACGAATACGTAGAAACGTTTCCTAAACATTTTAATGCACTGGTTCGAAGGGAACAATTTTTCTAAAATATCCAGTGGCTTATTATTAATGAAGAGGTCTCACAGGAGAAAATAAGTTGTATTAATGTTGCAGATTTAGCAAATAAACATTTATGGGAGCGGAGTAGCGCTTACGAAGAACTGATATGAAACTATCAGCTGTAACTGCCCCAGTCAAATCGCGAACCTCAGTTCGTAAACAAATCGACCGCGGAGGGACATTCGTAATGAAGCAACCGAGAAATGTTTTTGTTCTTTTTTTGAATCAGCGGATGTTACATGGTCGACGTCTCCGGGCCCCCCCCGGCCCCCCAAAGAGGCGTGGCGGTGGTTTTTACAGACTCCTCCCCCTCGACACTTTTACCGCGGTCCCGCCCCTCGTCTCCCATTGGTTCACACGACACAAACAAGTTTGACAGGAAAGATTCTCGCCCACCTGCGCAGGCCTAGTACCGTGCTGCCATCTGGTTAGACCAGTTTCGAAGAGTTGTGTTTACGTGGCCACTGACCCAGCCTCGGGGACACAAACAAACGAGTTCTTCGTCGCGAAACATGAAAAATTCCAATTTCATCTGAATTTTTGATTCGTTTTATATTCGAGACATAAACTTTTCAAAATTGTTGCAAAAATCGTGACAGTGTCTCAAAGACGGACAGCGCCGAGTTTGTGATGTAGCAAGCCCCAACTCGGACGGAAGACGTAGCTCTTCATTTGAGCTGTGTGTATTCGCCAGCTTCAGGCACAGAGCCCTGATGAGGTAGGCAGCAGGGACCTCCGAAACGTCGGTAAACTTCTGGCGCAAGAACCCAGAAGACATTCGTCCTCAAAGCCAATTTCTGTTTGTCTGTCCACATTTCCGAATTTTCTCGAACGATTTTGGCGGTAGAACTTTCATCTTTTTTAGGCCTAGTTCCATCCACA